AATTTTAAACTCGGTAAGAGTTTCAAGTAAAGTTTCAAACACAACAAGCGGAACTAAATTTGGATTTTTGAACAGCAAGATACAACTATTTGACGATGGCGAGATTTCACGACCTGTTCAACAATTTTCCAGTTACCAGTTTCGACACAGTTTTGAAATCAGACCATATCTAACTCTACACAAGTCCAAATTGAGAATGGTTCATGGGTTTAGAAACTAGATTCAAAATGTTTCAAATCACCAGAAGACATCGTTTCCAAAATCCTTTCACAAGAGGGACGAAATTAAGACACAAGATGCAACTACACAGTTTCTCTTGGACAACCAGGTAAAACAGGTCAGTCCACTTTGCTAATTCGCTACGGCTCACTCAAAACGAATTAGCAGAGGAATTTTATACCGTTGAAAAATAGATTTTTAGTTCTACAACATCGCAGAAGACACTTTTCAGAGATTTTGTGAGGACCCGTAAAATTCCCTTTATATCATTTTATTCTACTTCCTTTCATGCATTTTCTTTATTTTATTTTACTACCTTAATTTTCTAGACATTTTTATAAGTGAATATAGTTTTTAAATCATTTTTCTGGTATAAGTTAGCTCATGTTAATTTGAAGTTGTATGAAGGACGTGGGACCTACTAGTGCGGTTAGTGCGATGAAATTTTGACGATTAGTTGAAGTTTTGCATTAAGGGTTATTATTTTACAATGTGTTAAGAGATAATTAGAGGTTAACTAGATAGATTAACCTTTCGAAGACAAAGAGATGAGAACAAAACCCTAAAAGCCAAGTGTCATGAAATCAATGGATGTTAGACTTTGACCCAACTTTCTTCCACCTTTACTAAATACAAATTTGACCAAAAATCATCCTCACTTTCTTGTATCTTGGCCAAACCATAGAGGGAGAAAAGGCAGGGAAAACTTCATCTTCATCATCCATTTTCTTGCTTCAATCTTGAGTTCTAACCGATTAAATCGCAAACCCTTCCATAAGAGCGTTAATTAAGGAGGATTCAAGGTGTTGGTGGAGTGGTTTTTGAAGAAGAAACCCTAACCTACCATCTTTCCTAAGGTTCCAAGGTAACTTACCTAGAAATCCCTTTTTACTCTTAATAATTGTAAAATTGTGGAGTAGAGTTGTTAAATATGTAGTTTTGTGAGAAAGTTCACAGTTTAAGGTAGGTTTATGGAACATTTCAGTTTTTATGGTGATTTTTCTGCCCTCATGTGATGAGTAATGATTGGTTATTGTTTAATAGGTTTGTTATGTGTAATATTGAGTTTTTATATGCTAGTTTTACTTGCCTACTGTGGGTGCTCACCTCGGCTGGTTCTCAATTGCTGAGGTGAACCCTGTCTGTCCCTCACCCAAGCACGGTCATGTCCCGCACACGACCCATGACTTCGGCCAGATCTTTGGCCGAACCATTGGGATGACCTCTGGACTCCCACCTCGGCTGCACGCTGATGATGTCAGCACCTCTGACATCACCCAGAGCCATTGCTTTATCTGAAAAGTACCGGATACTTTTAATGGCTATTGCGTAAGGCTCCCCGTCACCCTGCCCAAGCGGCTACAGTGTCAGAGTCAGGCCTCCTGACAAGGAACAGAGCCGTAATGCCAGGATGTGGGTCCTACCAGCATGAGCCCCCGTCCTACCTTTCACTCTCACTCTATAAATACTCCTCATGTACACCTAACAAGTAAGCACACTGTTCATTCTCATATACTACTATTTCTCTCGTTCTCTTACTAATTTGATCGTCGGAGTGATCCCAGGGGAGAAGCCCCGCCTTCCACTTCGGACAAGTGAATTCACCTCACCTCATTTCAGAGAGGACTTATTTAGGTCGGACCAACAACCTACCAAAAATCACCTCTTCAATTGGCGCCGTCTGTGGGAAACGAAACTACAGTTAAAATGAGATCCATGTGCTCCAGAAGCGGAAGAGTTCAATCAACCGGAGTTGGGTAGACCTCGGGAGCCCAGCAAGATCGCATTTCTGAACACCAATGGTCCCCCAGGACCCAGCCCGCTAACGAGGATGCCATCGCCAAGATGGCCGAGTTCGTAGCAGATAACCCCAACATTTTCGAGGAACTAGGGAGGTACTTTAAAAGGCAGGGGAAAGAAAAAGCTGAATCTTCCAAGAGGAGATCAACAAAGTCCCCTGAAGTACCTTCAGGTGAGGATTCTGACGAGGGGCACCTCTCTCGGAGTACTTCCAAGCGCGCCTCTTCCAAGGCGACATCCAAAATTGCCTCTATTTTCCGGGTGTTTTCCCGAGAACTGCTAGGAAAATGAGCTGAGGACCCACCTCGGCGTCCCGGAGGTTTAGCAGCCGACTATATGAGGGCTCCGCCCTTTACTGATAACATCAATGGAGAAATGGTACCCCCAAATTTTAAACTTCCAGCCTTGCACTTCTACGACGGCCGAGGTGGCCTCGAGGATCACCTCCGCGCCTTCATCTCTGCTTTCCGACTCTATTGCGTCCCCGACGCCGTGATCTGTCGAGTTTTCCCCATTTTCCTACAAGGGACAGCCCGAAAATGGTTCTGGGGCTTAGAGGCGAGGAGCATTTCCTCCTTGGACGAGTTGATAGATTGGTTCATCCACCGCTTTGTATCGTCTCGTCCAATCACGAAAACTTCAACTTACCTCTTGAACCTGCAACAGGCTCCCGGCGAGTCACTGCGCTCGTATGTGCAGATACCTGATCAAAATGAGCAGGTAACCATCGCTGCCTTCACCAACGGGCTAATTGCTGGGATCTTCAATGCCGAGATACATCGGGATTACCCCCGAACACTTCGAGAACTCTGGGAAGGGGTAGACCAAGGAATCCGAAGTGAGGACCTAAACCGCATGAAGCGAGAAACTCAAGCTGCTCGTACTGGGCAAGTGTCACGGAGGAAAAGAGACACCGGCCGAGTCAAGCAGGGCCCCAGTGGCTCATCGAACTAATTCCGAGACCGTCGGAGTGTCTTTGATCGGATTGTAAAAGGCAGGTCGTCCACTTCGGACGCCGAACTAACACCGCTCAATTCCAGCAGGTCACACGTCTTGGCGGTGATGAGGCAAAATCACCTCGGCCGAAACCCTCCTGAGATCCCGGGGAGGAGAGATAGGAGGAACTCCAACCTCTATTGTGCCTACCACTGAGATGTCGGGCACGAGACCGAAGACTGCAACGATTTCAAGCGAGAAATCGAAAACTTAATCCGCCAAGGATACTTGAAGCAATTCGTCCGCAAGGATGGAATCCTCAACCAAAGCGCCTCCCACCGGGAGAGCCGGGGCCCTCGCCGAGAAGACAGGCGGGACACCAAGATTCATTGCCGAGGTCCCGAAGATCGCAGGAAAGACCAGCGCCCACCGTGTGACGGATCACTGGGCTACGGCCCTAACATCGCCGGGGTGATCAACACAATCGCGGGGGGTCCGACGGGAGGAGACAGCCAGAACTCCAGAAAACGGACATACCGCCAGGCCGGCATGGAGGCGGCCGAGCCGAGCTCCCAGCTATCCGAGGTGATTACCTACGGTTTCAGCGACCCTATCCCTGCGGCCTCCAGCAATAACGAAACTCTAGTGATCGAAGTTCTCACCAATAATTACATAGTCAAAAAGGTCTATGTTGACCCCGGAAGCTCGGTAGACATCTTGTACTACCGAACTTTCGAAAGTTTGAAACTGATCAGAGAGCAACTCACTCCTGTCAAAACTCCCCTTGTTGGTTTCGGGGGACACGTCGTCCACCCGGAGGGCATGGTGACCCTGATGGTGACTATCGGGCGTCATTCCCGCTGCCGAACTGTACCTGTCAGCTTTGCGGTGGTCAGAACAGACTCTCCTTACAACATGCTAATAGGCCGGCCCACGCTTAACGCTCTGAGAGCTGTCTACTCCACCTACCACCTGAGTTTCAAATTCCCAACCCCTGCGAGTGTGACCGAGGTGAGCAGCGACGTGAACGCCGCCCGGGAATGCTACCTCGCCACCATCCAGGCAGCGGTCACACCCCGAACCGCATCGAGAGCTGAAGAAAAGAGGCCAGCGGTCCTCTCCGTAGACAGCATCGACCCTCAGAAGACAGGAGAACCCAACAGGCTTGAGCCCGGGGATGAGGTGGAGCCAGTGGTTTTGGATGAGGTAAGACCAGACCAAGTGGTCCAAGTGGGGGCCGGACTCCCCTCGCCCCTAAAGGAAGAAATGATCTACTTGATAAAGGACCACCGAGACGTCTTCGCGTGGTCCGCTGATGAAGTGGTCGGAGTGCCACCCGAGTTCATGATCCATCAGCTCAACGTTAATCCACAGGCCCGTCCTGTGAGGCAGAAACGACGGCACTTCGGCTCCGAACGCAGCAAGGCCATATCCGACGAGGTCGACAAACTCTTGCCCGTCAAAATGATCCATGAGATCCAATACCCCACCTGGCTATCCAATCCAGTCATGGTCAAAAAGGACACCGGAGGATGGAGAATGTGTGTGGATTTCACAGATCTCAACAAGGCCTGCCCCAAAGATTGCTACCCTCTGCCGAGGATAGACGCTCTCGTCGACTCGGCAATGGGACACGAGGTTCTCTGCTTCCTAGATGCCTTCAAAGGGTATCATCAAATAGGAATGAGTGAGGAGAACCAAGAGAAGACGGCGTTCTACACCGACCAAGGTGTCTATTGCTACACTACCATGCCATTCGAGTTAAAAAACGCCGGGGCAACCTATCAAAGGCTGATCAACTGACTCTTCAAATATCAGATCGGCCGTAATGTGGAGGCCTGTGTGGACGACATCCTCGTCAAAAATTTGACCACTTCGGCTTTCCTGTCGGATTTGAGGGAGGTCTTCGGCGTCCTGCGGGACTCAAGGATGAAGCTAAATCTCAAAAATTACGTCTTCGGCGTCACCTCCGGAAAGTTCTTGAGGTATCTGGTTTCCCGCCGGGGAATCGATGCCAACCCCAACAAGGTCAAGCCATTCAGGACATGTCTCCACCTCGGAACCTCCGAGAAGTCCAGAGGCTGAATGGACGTCTGACCGTACTGAACCGCTTCCTGTCCCAGTCTGCTGAGAAAGCTCTGCCGTTCTTTAAGGTGCTGAAGAAGGCTGGTCAGTTCGCCTGGACTAAAGAGTGCTAGGCTGCCTTCGACAAGTTGAAACAGTACCTACACCACCTGCCCACTCTCGCTACACCTCGGCCCGAGAAGAAACTGTACCTCTACCTATCCGCAGCCGACGAGGCTGTCAGTGCTGTGCTCATCCGAGATGAGGGCACTCAAGTGCCGGTCTACTATGTCAGCCGAGCCCTTCGCGGGTCGGAAACTCGGTACACCCAGGCGGAAAAACTCGTATCGGGACTAGTCCACGCAACTCGGTGGCTAAAACCCTATTTCCTAACTCATCCCATTTCCGTTAGGACATACCAGCTTATCCGGCAGATATTGGTGCGTCCCGAGGCTTCCGGGCGCCTTACCAAGTGGGCTGTCGAATTGGGAGAGTATGATCTGTCATATGAGCCACGCACTGCCATAAAAGCTCAAGTTTTAGCCGACTTCCTTGCCGAACTCACCTTCACGGAAGGTCGAGAACCCACCTCCGCCATTGCCGAGGTGTCCACCCCACACCTGTGGACGTTGTATGTGGACGGATCCTCTAATGGGGATGACAACGGAGCAGGACTGCTCCTAAAGGACCCCCATGGGGAAGTGTGCTCATTTGCCTTCCGTTTTGATTTCCCCGCCACCAATAATGAAACTGAGTATGAGACCTTAATCGCTGGACTCCAGCTAACCCGCAGACTCGGTGCCCAACGGATCCACGTCCGCAGTGACTCCCAACTGGTAGTATTCCAAGTTCTTGGTGAATATGAGGCCAAGGATGAGACCATGCAACGGTATCTCTCCAAAGTTCACCAGCTCACCTCATACTTTCAATCTTTCGAAATCCAAAGAATATCCCGGTCCCAGAATAGGCAGGCTGATGCCTTATCCCGGCTGACTTCCACATCATTCTCTGACCTCAACAAGACTATTTTGGTAGAGGTGCTGAACGAGCCAAGATACATGCAAGAGGTGGCCTGTCCCGTACACTCTGGAGATACATGGATTAGCCCGTTCATCCTTTTCTTAAGTTAGGGAATCCTCCCCGAGGACCGAGTCGAGGCAAGAAAGATACAACGCAAAACTGCTCGGTACGCTCTCCGCGAGGAAGAGCTGTATAAATGCTCCTACCTCGGCCCGTGGCTGAGGTGCGTTACGCCTGAGGCAGGACGCCAGATCCTTCACGAGATCCATGAGGGCCTATGTGGGGCTCACGTCGGCCACAGAATGTTAGCTAAGAAGACTTTGCTCCTTGGGTACTTCTGTCCCTCCGTTCGACAAGACGCCCAAGACCCTGTTCTCGGCTGCCCTTCTTACCAAGTCCACGCCTCTGAGCACCACCAGCCCTCAAATTTCATGGTTCCCATCACCTCACCCTAGCCGTTTGAGCAACGGGGGACAGACATCATCGATCATTTCCCTAAAGCTGTCGGGGGTTATACCTTTCTTGTAACTGCAGTGGATTACTTCACTAAATGGGTCGAGACCGAATCTCTAAGGACCATCACAGGGTTGGCGGTTCAAAAGTTCTTTTAGAAATGCATTGTTTGCTGCTTCGGCATACCTCAGGTCATCATCTCAGACAATGGAAGACAGTTTGCCGAGAACCCATTTAGGACTTGGTGCGAGAACCTTGGCATCAAGCAAAACTTCACTTCTGTAGGCCACCCCCAAGCTAACGGTCAAGTGGAGAATTTCAACCGAACCCTCTTACATGGTCTCAGGACCCGATTACACCGACTTGGATCATCGTGGGTGGAAGAACTGCCCAGTGTCCTGTGGTCATATTGAACCACGCCGAGGTCAGCCACGCAAGAGACCCCTTTTTCCTTGACCTATGAAGCCGAGACTGTCATCCCTGTCGAGATCCTTACACCCAGTCCCCGGCTGACAGTTTATGCAGCCGAGGTGAACGAAGAAGAGAGACAGTTGGACCTCGACCTCGTCGACGAAAGAAGGGATATTGCCTCAACTCGGGTAGCTTCCTACAAGAACACCCTAACCCAATATTACAATACCCGTGTCAGACACCGTCGATTCCAGACAGGAAACTTGGTTCTCAGGAAAAACTCAGTCAGCCGAGTTGAATCACAAGGAAAATTGTGCCCGAAATGGGAGGGCCCTTACCGAATTGTAGAATCTAATCTTAGTGGATATTGTAAATTGAGCTACCGAGATGGCACACTAGTGCTAAGAACTTGGCACGCTGAGAATCTTAAATTGTATTATGCTTGAACATTTCATCCAGTTATGACTTCAGATGTTTTGTTATTTTTCAACATTTTGGTGTTACACATCCGTTATTAAAAAATAAGGGGGACAAGCAGGGGACGAAGCGAGAAATAAAAAGTGCCGAGATGAGAAAAAATAGACATTTCATTTAATGAAATAAGGCAATACAAAAATACATGACCGAGATCGGAAGTGTTGCTAAGCACCTCCCACCTCGGTGTCCCACCTAAACACCTACGAGCCTAGACCCCCGTCTCGGCTCCCTCCCCGGTCTCGGCACCCTCTTGGGCAGCCTTCTCGCTGGTTTCTTCCCCGCCGGAGTGAAGCTGTTCACCCCCTCCTCCGTGCTCTTCGCCGACCTTCTCGCCGACGTCTCCCCCAACTTTTTTTCCTTTATCCTCCTCAAACACCTCGTCGAGCTCGGACAGCCACTTGTTGAATTTGTCCCGGATTTCGGCCAAGTTCCTTCCAGCTTGGAGACCTTCGGCCATCCGATCGCACAACTTCTTGGAGTTCTCGTTGTAATTGGCATGGTTTCTCAAAGATTCCAAGGCTTCGGAGGAAAGATGAGTTGCGGCCTCGTCTATGGCTGATGTAAAACCAAACATAAAACTCGGCGTGATCAGCTGGCCAAGGTCCTTGGTGAAGGTCTCAGTTTTCCGGAAAGCCTCCATCGCCGAGGCTCCAGCACTTTCGAGAGCTTGTTCATGAGACTTCTTCACCTCATCCCCCCTCTTCTGCTCTTCCTCGAGAGCCGACTGAGGATGTTGATGGTAGTTTCGACCTCCTCCTCCTTCGTCTCGGCTTGTTGAAGCCGTCGTTGAAGCTCCGCCTTCTCGGACTCAGACACCACCAGTTTTTTCTCCAACTTGTAGATCTGATTTTGCAACTTGCCGGTGTCCTACTCCTCGAGTAGGGCACAGTATCGGTACGCCATCTCGGCCATAAAGGCTGTATTGGAGGCCGTGGTCACCATCACGCTTTGAATCACTTCGGCCGGAGTCAGCTTCCTTGTAAACTCCACGTCCCTCGACAAACTTGACTGCATCACCAAGTCTTGTGCTACCCGAGAATGGGTACACCTATCATTGACCGAAAGCTTCCACTCCGGACACCAATGACCGCCGGAGTGGGTCTTGTCTTTTCCGGAAAACACCGGGGGGCTGTGGAAACAGTTTCACAGGGAAGTCCCCGTGACCGCATTGAATCGAGCCTTCAATTGTTTATCTCGGCCATGAGGAGGCGGAAGTGCAGCGGTAAACCCGAGGGGCACCCCCTCTGGTACAAAAGAGGTGGATCCCGTGGCTACGGCGGCCGAGCTGCTCTGGGCTGCCATGGTTGGAGTGCTTTTAGCAGCAGAACTTTTGGACACCTGCCCTTGGGTCTTCTTTTTCGGCGGGGGCGCTGAGGTCTCACCGGAGCTCTTCCTCTTTGACCTCTTGGCCATCTCGGCCGAGCCCGATGTGACGATGTCGGATAGTTTTACCACTACACAAAAAACAAACATTATTATTTGCCACAGTCGAAGTGAAAAAAAAGCCATGAAAGAAAAATTATAAGGTTTCGTAAGTTTAGTGGAAATGAAGGGAGGCTTGTCAGGGTTGAGTAAGGCTCGGCTAATCCCCCCGTCGACCAGCATGGCTTCAGGGTAGTTCCAACTGTACAGCCGAAGTCCAGACCTCATCAACTTCTGGAAGGACTCCTTTTCGTAGTCCTCCGCTGAGTGATCGGCCTTTGATTTAATGGGTCTCCACCAAAAACCCCAAGGGAAGTCCACGGCTGGGACGAAGACGAAGTCACGCTTCCAGTTCTTTATCAAAGTGGGAGCACCGACCACAAGCTTCGGGATGGTGTTGTTCCGATTGCAAATGTAGAACCACCCTTTATCTGTCCCGTGTGCCTTGACAATGTAATATCGGCGAAAGAGGTCCACGGTTGGAGTCACCTCCTGATGTCGGCACAACATCTCGAATTCCACCAAGATGCGAACCGCGTTCGGGGTGAGCTGAGTGATCCTCAAGCTGAAGTGACAGAGTACATCCCTGAGGAACTTCGACGTCGGCATCCTCAGCCCGACCTCCAACTGTTGGAGGTAGATAGCCACAGTGCCCAACCGGGGCTTATCGGCCGAGTCATTCGGCCCAGGCTACGTGATGAGATACCCCGGCCTGAAGGGGTACTTCCTTATCATCTTTTCGACTCTATCTTTTCCCATGCGACTTTTAAACTTCGGCATCTTGCCGAAGTCAATTTTGGCGACATCCTTGGGGGCAACTGGCTCCAGTACGCCCTCATCTCGGGGTATTGAGGTTCCGAGATCGGTATTATATTCGACCTTGGAACCATCCTCACTCATCACGGATGACTCCGACCCCGAGACTGTCCCGGTGACCTCCTCGGCTGATCCCTCCATAGCACTGGCCGTCGACCCCTCTGAGCTGGACGAAGTCATTTCTTCTGGCTCCTCCTCGGCCTGGTAGCTCGGTCTCACGGTCTCCTTATGGGTTTTAGCCGTTTTGGCCATAGATGAAAGATGAGATGAAGTGAAAGATACTTACTATTGACTACGGATTCGGACGAAATTGATGACTTCGGCTTTGATCTCGGCTGACAGGACTGATCTCGGCAACGCTCACGAATTTTGCAAGACTAAGGCGAAACTAAAAAAAGTGATGGGCCATGCAATGAAAAAGACCTCCTATTTATAGGGTTTCGGGGGAATCCGAAGAGGCGGCAAAAAGGCGAAAAGTCGACCACGTTCAAATTCAAAGGAACGCGTCTCTCTCTCTCGTCATTATGACCCGTCCTGTCGACTGACATTCTCTCTGCACGAAACGATGCGGCGGTTACCCGTGGCCGCTAAGCTCACCACGTCCTATCAACTGACGTGCCCACGTGTCACACCCCCGCATCTTCCGGAGCCGTTTCGGGACCCTGGTACAATGAAGCCTCGGCACCTCCCGAGCTCCAGAGCTCCCAAGGCTTGGGGGGCTTATTGTGGGTGCTCACCTCGGCCGGTCCTCAATTGTTGAGGTGAACCCCGTCTGTCCCTCACCCAAGCACGGTCATGTCCCGCACACGACCCATGACTTCGGCCAGATCTTTGGCCGAACCATTGGGATGACCTCCGGACTCCCACCCCGGCTGCACGCTGATGATGTCAGCACCTCTTACATCACCCAGAGCCATTGCTTTATTTGAAAAGTACCGCATGCTTTTAATGGCTACTGCGTAAGGCTCCCCGTCACCCTGCCCAGGCGGCTACAGTGTCAGAGTCAGGCCTCCTGACAAGGAACAAAGCCGTAATGCCAGGATGTGGGTCCCACCAGCATGAGCCCCCGTCTTACCTTTCACTCTCACTCTATAAATACTCCTCATGCACTCCTAACAAGTAAGCACACTGTTCATTCTCATATACTACTATTTCTCTCGTTCTCTTACTAACATGATCGTCGGAGTGATCCCAGGGGAGAAACCCCGCCATCCACTTCGGACAAGTGAATTCACCTCACCTCATTTCAAAGAGGACTTATTTAGGTCGGACCAACAACCCACCAAAAATCACCTCTTCACCTACGAAAAATTTCAGTCAGTGTGTATCAATTTCAGATTAGGGTTTCCATTTAGGAATGATTCTGCCCTGTTTTTGGACCCAAACTGACCTGTATATTCGTCTATGATAAAGGCCGAATTAGCTCTTGCTCAAAACATGAAAGTTGTAGGAAATTGAGCTAAATATCTACTTATAAAATTTCAATTCAATCAGAGCACTGTATCTTATGAAATAACTAAAATACCCTTGACTGCCCAATGCCCTATTTCACTGACAGTTTTCTGTTTTCTTTGAGATTTCAATTTTTGACCTTGAAAATGCAAGAACTGGATATTGATGTCTTCATAGGAAATGTAAGTCTATATCTTAGTTTCGAAACACCATAAAATGTACCCCAATCCGATAAGCGTAGCTTTAGTTGTAACCAAAAGGCTGAGAGATGGCAAACTTGCTACTTAGCCATTCGTCTTTAAAACTAATTTTCAGCTTTGATTTTGATGGGTGCATTGCTAGAATTAACTTATATTTGGATGACTTTGAGCCTAGTTGAGGAGCTATTGTGTTAAGTTTACTTATGTTTTTAATTGGGCTGAGT